TTGAGGAGATGACCTTTCCCCTGCATCCCGCAGGGTCCCTGATGGATTTGAACCCCGGTTGAGTTAGTGCAACTCCTATAGACTACAGCCATGAGAGCTCCCTGTTGTGAATGTATAGGTACTATTAACTTCCCCTCGGTCACACTTGAGACCTGGGATTGAACTCAGCCGCGTGATTAAACATAAAAGCTCCCAGTCACATCACCACTCGGTTCCACTGGGTCCAGGGATCTTGTAGGACAGGGACGAACTGCCCACCTAGGTTTCTTTATTAGGAGAGCAGACTGTCTCACCTTACAGGCGTGCACAGCTCACCATTCTTTTTATTTTTTAGCGAGACAGATCTTTTTTTATTCAGTCCTTGTTTCATATAATATTGATCCCATTTTCTGAATCTCTAGTGTATTAAAATGGGGAAAAATCCAGAAGGTACTTATTTTTAATATCATGGAAACTTGTGAGCAGAAAACCCTTTTGCAATGCTTTCTGGTTCTCTTACAACAGATCTCCATCACCTGATTCCGCAAACACAGCAGTTGCACAAATCATCTTCATCAACAGAAGCAGCATCTCACTGGACTGGAGGATGACTGACTGAAGATGATCTGAGTTTTCGTTCCATCTTAGAAGCCCAAAAACAATTCAAATCCATCAGCCACTCCACAGAAGAAAGTAGGTAGTCTTCTCTGATGCTATGTGTAGGCTAGAAAACTCCATGGAAGGTCAGCTATGACTCAGACCCAACTTGAACAGAGTGTGGAGGAGGCAGAGGACAATATCTGGGAGATGTTGACGGCACGCAGGACCCAGTAGGTGGCCTTACAGCTCACCATTCTTGTTAACAGTCCATCGCTTAACCTTGCTTGCACAACAGATCCACATTTTAAAAGGATTGGAATATATAGTATCAAAAATACTTACCAAATGCCTGAATAAATATTTTGCAAGGCAAACAACCGCCAAATAAAACCAAAGCAGGTGTCTTGGAAAAGGTGCAGCCAGTATGCCCCCCCCTTTTTTTTTTACAACCAATGAAATAATTTATTACTATTATTATTCATAACAAACTGTGGCTGACTCTGAGAAGAATGGGAATCCCAGAACACTTGATCGTTCTAATGCGAAACCTATACTTGGACCAG